TGTTGTATTACTGTGTATTTGTGAAATTTATTTTGTAAAAATTCGTGAATAAACCTTTTCATTATTATTATTTTTATTAGTCTTGGCCTTCACCTGCCGATATAAAGGAGATGTCTCCTAGTGACCTGTCCACCTTCCTGGAAAGGACAGAATGGACGATGACTCGGAGGACAACTCCTCGGGAGGATGTACAATGGGTCACATTTGGCCTAAGTAACTCACCCTCCCTACTCTACAGATTCAGATACAGAATCACACCTTATTTGCCTTCCGACACCTACACTAACACACAAAATTCGATTATCTTCAAGAGTAAAAAGTTATTTAATTATCTTCCCATTAACTTGAAGCGAATACGGAATGAAAAGAGATTTAGAATAGGGTAGAAGAATTTTATGTTGTGAGGGCCTATTATACTGTGGATGAATTCTACCAAGCTACCACAAGAATTCAGCTATCATTAAAAAGAGCCTAGCTGAATTCTAACATGGTTTTAATCAAGTGCAACTAATTGTAACAGTTGAAATGGTTTTATTGTTATGTGGCTTTACATGTACTATTCTGTTAAAAAAATAAGGTGAACTTCCATTTTTCTCAAAAAAAAAATTATGCATTCATCCATTTCTTTTTTGTCCCCTTCAAAGTAGTTCCCCTCAGATATATTATGCTAGTGCCAGCGTTTTTTCCAATCCTCGAAGCAGTTCTGATATGCTCTTTTTTGTATGTCCTTGAGCTCTCTCAGTGATTCTGTTTTTATATCCTCAATCGTCGCAAAACGCCGTCCTTTCATGGGTCTGTTCAATCTTGGGAACAGGAAAAAGTCGTAGGGACCAAATCTGGTGAATACGGTGGCTGAGGCATGATTATGGTGTTTTTTTGGCCGAAAAACTACAAACAAGCAATGACGAGTGAGCAGCTGCATTATCGTGGTGTAAAAGCCATGAATTGTTTTTCCACAATACCGGACGTTTTCTTCGTATTGCTTCTGGCAAGCGGCGCATAACTTAAAGATAATACTCCTTATTAACCGTATGACCATGTGGAAAGAACTGGTGCACTACGCCACAGTAATAGAAGAAAACGGTGAACAAAACCTTGACACTTGATCTAATTTGGTGTGCTTTTTTTGGTCATGTCTCTCTTGGGCTCTTCCGTTGGGATGATTGGACTTTGGTTTTGATGTTATAACCATATACCCATGATTTGTCACCAGTTCTGACTTTTTTAAGGAAATCTGGGTCTCCGTTGATGTTAATCAACAATTCCAGAGCAATGGTCATGCTACGATGGTCAAAATTCAGCAATTTTGGAAAGAACTTCGCTGCTATACGTTTCATGCCTGAAATTTACGAAAAAATTGCATGGAATGAGCCAGCCGATATGCTGATATCCTCAGTAACTTATCTAATAGTGATTTGACGATCCTCCATAAAAATTGTCTTCACTTTCTCAACACTTCCATCGGTTGTTGATGTGCTGGGGCGTCCAAGGCAAGCGTCGTCATTCACATCTTTTNAGTTGAAAGGCCTTCGGCCAGGGCAATGAGGGCGACGGCAATTTTCATGACCTGCTGGGGACCGAATCAGGTTTTTAGAGTTCAGCAGAGCCGTACTCTAACCATCTGACCTGAAAGACTACTAGTGTGAATAGGTGTGAGCCACAATAAACCCTTGCGGGTTGTGGTGGAGCGTCGAATAGACCTACTCACTTTGGATCTAACCTAACCTAACAATTATCGTATGTCAATGTCAACATTTCGAATGTTTTTGAGCACTTAATTCCATTTATTACATAAAATTTCTTCGATAAATTCCTCTCATTAACAAATTGTTAGTGTTAGTAAAAATATTATAGATGAACCCTCCTCCTGTTCCATTTAAAATTATGTCAAGCAAAGGTTTAATTGCTCGAAATACATTCGTTTCCGAAATATAATTTTCTCATGCTCCTCGTAATTCTTGAACCTTGGACATAGTTTTGTTTTAACTCGAATTTCTAACAGTTTATTTTTAGAAATTTGTGCGCCGGGAAAGAGCTTAAGCGCTACGCGAAGATTTGGCATTGTATTGTAACAAACTCACGTTTTTTTACTCGTGTCAAATGCCTGACCTAAGTGAAAATACGAATATTTGTTTCGACGATGGATATTGTGTCTCAGCCAAGGTATTTTTCGAAATATTTCATTGATATTTTCATTTTTGCTCTCAACCATATTTTATAACAGTCCAAAGTTCTAGATTAATTGATTAACCGATATAGTTTACATAATTTTTGACAGATCGTAATTCACGTGTCTATTATCATTACTTTCTGAGACTGATTATTTCATAAACACGGTGAATTCTGACACTCATGATTTTTTTATGAAACGCAGGTCTGGGAAAAAAGTTTCTAAATTTTACATTTTCTTGACATACACAGTTAAATTGAAAAACCACCTGCAGACATTATTTCCGATTTTGTTACTACATACAACTTACCTTTTGTATTGCAAAATTTGAAAAAATTACTGGTTATCGATTTTGAAAGATCTATTTCGTAAACAATATGTCTACGAGCGTCATAGAATTTTAACATGTTTTTGTTATGCATGAGCAGATTCTTGACCTGCGAACCGTCGATTTCTTATCAGACTTCAGGAAATTATGTAAAGAGAATATATACATACATAAGGAAACTTGAAAATAAGCCCTATTATTATTTCCTTCTCGATCAGCATTTAAGAAAGTCACATTTCATTCACTGTTGTATTTTACCTATTTTAAATAAAACTACACTTGATGTTCTGACCACATTTCAATCATGTTAGCGAAACTCTACCATTTGGATTTCACTTCCAAAGGAAGGAAGACAGCAATTGAGTTCGAAATAAACTCTTACACAGATGTGAAGAGAGAGCATTTATAGAAGTTACTATCAGATACAGGCTGGAAGAAACCGTTATTAGGTTGAAAAGAGAAATGAATGCATATAGTGCATACTTTGGTGCTGACACTGTATACTTATAAATGCGAAAGTCGCTCACTTCATTTCTGTTTCTCTGTCCTAGGAAGTTAAAATTTGGTATATAGGTGCTTCTTGGGTCTTAGATGCATACTAAGAAAGGATTTTCGAAAATTCCCATTGAGGGACCCTCCGTGAGGGTAAAAGGGGCGCGTTTACATATAAATATTACCTTTTCATCACTGTTTTTCCGTACCGATATATTTTCGGAGGCTGAAATTTTGTATGTAGTTTTTTTTTATGTGATAGATGTGCATTAAAAAAATCATTTTTAAATATTCCAACTGGGGAGCTAGCCGCGGGAGAAAAAAAGCGTTCATATAATGAAGTTACTTTTTCATAACTGTTTCTTCGAACCGCCATATTTTTGGAGGCTGAAATTTTGTATGTTAGGTTAGGTCCAAAATGAGTAGGCCTATTCGACCCTCCCCCGCAACCCGCAAGGGTTTATTGTGGCTCACACTTATTCACACTCGACCAAATAAACCCAGCTTCGTAACGAAGCCGCTAATTTGTATGGTGAGTGGTCTTTCGGGTCAGATGATAAGAATACGGCTCTGCTGAACTCTAAAGACCTGATTCGGTCCTCAGCGTAGTTGGATAATCAAGTTGCAAGATTCCCACCTTGATACCCACGACAACCTTCCCATATGAGGGTTTTTGCACGTCAGCTACACCTGACGTTTCCTAACCTGCTCATGGGGGGTTTGTTCCCCCACCTGAGATAGATTCTGTGTACGCCGCTCAAGAATTTGGCGCAAGGCGGTTTTATAAGGTACCCGGCTCTTGAGGAGACGACTCAGTCGTTTCCTTGCTGCACCACCAAACCTTTTTTTTGTAAGGTTCAGTTGTTGGATCAGGAGTTGGGGAGTTGAGAAGCTCTCGCTCCTGAATAAAATTTACAGGGAGGTCAGTTGGAGTCGTAAACTCGACATCCATCTCCTCTGTAGACTCGCTCCTGAACAAAATTTACAGGGAGGTCATTTGGAGTCGTAAACTCGACATCCATCTCCTCTGTCGTCTCGCTCGTGAACTAAATTTATTTAAGAAGTGTTAGCCGATCGGTTGAGCGATGTAGAAGTTTATCACTTACCAACCAACCAACCAACCAACCCACCAACAAATATCCATTTTTATATATTAGATATGCAATAAGGAAGGATTTTTAAAAATTCCAACTGGGGAGCTAGCCGCGGGAAAAAAATGCGCGTTCATAAAACAAAATTATCTTTTCATTACTATAGATGAATTTATATTTAGTATCAGAATTGCATCCGTGCGGAGCCGAGGCGGATGGCTTGTCGCCTATATTGAAATCAGAACTTAGTTTGAAATTTCGATTATACTATATTTTGTATTATGTTTTTTTTTATATTTCGGATACTTTCGTGGCAAATATAATTAAATTATGTTGTTATTTATGGACTCCGAGACACTTTGTATTCCAAAAGACTCACAAGATAATAGTCACATTTTTCAAAGACCTTTTCGAAATATCCACTGTCTGAGGTGAAGTGAATTTTTGAGTTTTAAGAACGGAAAGGGATTTCTTTCCGAAACCTTAACCATCTAAAGAAAGTGAAATTGAGGTCGGTTGAGTGCCCAAAAAACAGCAAGTAACATTGACTTCTCCACAAAAAAGGCTTCCAAAGTATATTAACAGTCGGGTCACAAAATGAACAAAAATAACTGATCATTTCTTGAATATTGACATTTTGAAAAAAAATCAAACACAAATGTCTTTTGGCAAATCAAATCTACCTCTTGAAAATGAAACGAAAATATAATCTTTCAACTCTTATTCCGCTTTCACTTTTTTTTCAACGAAGAACTTTCTTTGTTTCAGAAGTTTCTCAAAAGTACTAAGAGCAAGAGTGGGGAACTATCCTTGGCTGACTTTATTTACTATGTCAGAGAGCACGAGAAAAATTTGAGGCTGCATTTCACTCATCTTGACAAAAATAAAGATGGTAAGTTGGCTCGAATTGTATTGACTAACGTGACTTTCTTTCAAAAAATAAATATATAAGTACTTTTTGATCATTCCCATATTGATTTCAATTTAAGAGCCACCGGTATACAGCTGTTTCAGCCTATTAGGCATCGTCAGTACCGGGCAGGCGGTCCTCGATTGAAGACAAAATGAGAAAAAAC